CGCCCCTCCATTTCTCACCCCCCTTCCTCTCTTGCCCTTCCTTCTCCTTTTTTGTCATCAGTTCCTCCTTCCTCCTCTCACCTTCTGTCTCTTCTTCTTCTCCTCAGTGCCAGTCTAGTCCTAAGCAGAAGAAAAGTGCTGTTGGCGCTCGGAAGAAGCAGAGGAGCCCGGCCAAGCAGAGCCCCCTGACCCAACAACAACAACTGCGGCCATCATCATCACCTCTGCCACCTGCAGCCCGGGAAGAGGAGGAGAAAGAGGAGGAGCCGGCGACCCAACCTCAGCCACCAAAGGAGGAGGAGGAGGAATCAGGCAAGGAGGAACGAGAGGAAGTGCTGACAAAGTCTGTGAAGAAGAAGAAGGAAGGACAGCGGGACGAGAAGGAGGAAGAAGAGGGCAAGACAGACATGCCCTCTGTGCAGATCAAACCAGAGCCAGAGGAGATGGAGTGCACGGTGAGGAGAGTTGGATGGAAGTGATTGGTTGGTTGATTTGGGAATGGGAATGTGTGGAGAATCTGTGGGGGAAGAACCAGAGGGAATGATGGACAGCTGGGTGGATGAGAGTCAAGTGGGTGTGGCTGTGACTTGATTTGATTTGATTTGATTTGATTTATTCATTCAAGCATGTAAAACAGTTGATATGTCAACACATGTAATTTCACACATATCCAACAATAATAATCCATTATCAATTTACTTATACCTAGTACCTGCTTGAACGGAGTAGGAAGAAGTTAGACTTATCTAGTCCTACCCCATGACATCATCTTACAACTTTTAAGTCCTAAGCAATATCTCTACATAAATAATTACAAAGCTCATCAGACGTGTTTGATCACGTCGAGTTCACACTCAACACACTGATGATTAAAATTCTTTACATCCAAGAATTACCAGCAAAGATGGCAGCCATGTGTCAGTGTGATGGAGCCACGACCTCCGTTTCACACCAAACGTCAGTCATACAGTCTATGAGGGAGAGGCAACATCATCCATGCCACTACATTTTAAAGGGGACTTTAAAATGTAGGATGAGGATTCTCCTGTAGTGTAAAGTGTCTAGTTTGTGACACTTACACATTTTGTTCAGCAAGATAAACTTCACAAGTGAACACCACTTTTATGATGTTTGAAGCCCAAATACAATCAGAAGAAGTAAAAGGCTATTGTTAGGCCATAAACGAACGACACCACTGTTTCATGACTTCAGCGTCACCACCACAGCTTCCAATCTGATTTAATGTGCTTACCTCTCCTACAAAATCCTTCCCTCTTAGTGTGACCTGATCTAGTTAGTGATCATGGCTGTGTCAGAATAGTTCACAAGTGCATGAGTTTAAACATAATGAGGCTGTAAGGCGGACTAGTCAGTGGATGGGTCTCGATGTTTAATATCCCAGGCAGCCTCTGTAGTCTCATCTAACCACAGACCTTATTTCAGGCATCAGAGCAAAAGCCCAGTCAAACACCCATAGACTTCAGGGCAAGGGAACCGGAAGTGCAAAATGCTAACTCGGCTCTGGGTTTTAGGGCTCACTACTTTTTTGTAGATTTGGACATTTCTGTCAGTAATTACAATAGTGTGCTCACCAAGTAATTGCTTAGATTTGGAAACATGGCAGCGCTGTGTTAAGATTCTAAATCAAGTCTCTTTCTTCATTATAACTGTGCAGTTATTTCAAACCAAATGCACTGACCTGGGATAAGCTAATGTTTGAGGTTTGTTTGAATTTGTCAGCTTGTTTTCTGACAGGCTTTAGACCAACAGCATACCGGCAAGGAGCCGGTTGAGGTACTGTTGAGATGATGAAATGTGATCCAGAAAATCCAGTTTACATAACAAATCCAGAGTCTAAACACTGATCAGACCTCAAAACTCTGCGCAGCAATTTATAAAACTGTGGAAGGATGTTACTGCTCTAGGAAAGTTATTACTGCAGTGCTAACATTACCAGGTAAAGGCAGAAATATGACATTCATGTTATAAAATTATCTGTCGGGAATGTGCATATTTGAAATAATAAGACATGCTGGGTGACACTGCATTGTGGAGCATTTTAATAGACAGCATCATTGAATACCTGGAATTTAGCTGCACATTGGAAACTGAAATCATGCCTCTCCCTGGTATTTAGATTCTACTTATGACTAATATAATATAATAATATAAGATGTGTGTTTTGTGATACTTCGTCATACTTACACAGCAACAATACTGGGTCAGTCAGTAGTCAATGTTTCACTTTGTCATCCTGATCTTAGTAAGAATTAGCTGGCTTTGTTTTAGAAAATCCCTGTGACCCTCTTCAGGACCGCTGGCTGTCTAGGTGGTGCCCAGAAAATAACGTGGGCTTCATAGATAACTGGAAAACATTTTGGGGAAAACCTGGTCTGATTAGCAGAGACGGCATCCATCCCACTTTGGGTCTTATCTAGAAATCTGGACGAGTTTGTTTTACAACCTAAATTATGACAACCCAGAGTTGAGTCCAGGATGCAGGGTCGCAGTCTTACACGCCTCTCTGCTGTCTCCTTGCAGCTGCT